TTCTTTTTGCGTGAGGGGCAGCGTCACACTGGGACCTTTTCGACTCGGTTGCTGGACGTAATTGCGACCAGATACACCCAGGCCCCGGCTGTAGTTGCATTGCATTTAGATGCTTTGAGAGAAGTCCCAGCGGGTGAGCCACTGGATCAAAAGGTACCGAGCACGAGCGGTTATAATTTGATGACTCAGAGCTGGTCCTTTAAAACATCACCAGCGAGAGCGGAGAGTGCGTTGGTGTTGTCGGCGTACATGGTAGATGCGTCGGCTGGTCGGCGTCCGCGGTCGCCGGCACCGCCGTCTTCTCGTCCCCTTCATTGCGGCTAGATCGTCTGTGTACGACCGCCATCACCACTGTCATCATCGTCGCACCCGTACTCATCACCATCGCCTCATTCTCTTCCGTTCACCGTTCTACTTATCCTCGACATTCTCATTTACATTAATTAGTAATACACTAATTAGTAATACACTGATTAGTAATACACTAATTAGTAATACTAATTAGTAATACACTGATTAGTAATAACCTAATTAGTAGTACACTGGTTAGTAATGCACTGATTAGTAATACATTGATTAGTTTACTAATCAGTGCATTACTTAGTAATACACTAATTAGTAATACACTGGCACTAATTAGTAAGTCTGGTATCATCCTTGCCCCCCATATCCTGACTGATAATGGTTTCCCTCGCGGTAGTTGGTCGTTCCTTCCTCCTCCCGTTCAGTTGCTAATCAGTCCTTCCGTACCGGTCGCTGCTGACCGACCTGGGCACATATGTCATCGGTCGGCGCCCACCGAAATGTTGCGATTGATTGATGGATAGATGGACTACGTGGCGGCGTGTGTATCATCTTACATGACATCATCGAGTGGGACCCGAGTTAGCCAGGTGACTGACCCGTTGATTGGCTCCCGTTGATTGGCTCCCGTTGATTGGCTCGTTTATCATTTATAAACTGCAGCTGATAGACCAATTCCATCGAGACAGCAATACGACCTCCTGATGAGTGAGTCGTTGGAACTCCATAAGTTGAAACTGTCGATCTCAGCCCTCCTACGTCTCTTGTCCTTTTGCTCCCTTTCTCTCAACGGTTCATTGGCCAGTTCTTCATGACTCTCTCTCTCTCTCTCTCTCGCTTCCTCCCTCTCTCTCTCTCTCTATCTATCTATGTACATATATGTATGACGTTCATAAATAGGTGGATAAGGTAGATAGACAAACCGATGGATAGTCTGCTTCCCCGGTGTCGGGAATTGGTGGCATAACTTGTCGGCTAGCAGCGTGGAGGTTTTCATCTCCAAGTCAATCGATTCGTTGATTGATTGATTGATTGATTGATTGTTTGATTGATTAAGTGATTGATTGATTAATCCATGTGATTGATTGATTTGATTTCATCTGATTGATTGATTGACGTGTCATTTCAAGCTGGCAATCTGATGGTCGTTGGACAACGACTTCAATCATCACGATCGATGTTGCATTGCATATGTGAGTTGCTCTCATTCCGTCATTCTCAGAAAGCTTTCAGGTATAAAACCGACATATGATAGACGGAAAGGGCTGTGCCGTTAAACGACCAGGAAAACCAGAAGTGGGGGATAACGGACACAGACGGAAAGGACTGTGCCGAGGCGAGGCGGAACGGAGGGGTAGCAGATTAACGGAATCGATCCCCCAACCGCCGGCGTGGTTCCGATATTTTCCAGATTCTTCGAGGGCAATAGAGCAAATGCGGTCTCTCTCACTCTCCCAAACACACACACAGAGACACACACACAGAGAGAGAGAGAGAGAGAGAGAGAGAGAGAGAGAGAGAGAGAGAGAGGGGATGATTAGTCGTCCTCGTGCTGAATGTCTGCTTTTCAACTACTTCGTTTAGCATATTGGGATCGCGATCGACTTGTTCCGGATCCTTTGCAGTAGCTGTCTGACTTGGCGTATTGCCTGTCTTCAGTACCCCGTGTCTTTCTTTTTCTTTTTTGA